CCTCCCAGAAAAGACATATCTGCCCTGGTCACGGCCAGCAGGGTCATCTGATCCCAGAGGTTATTATTAGGTTGCATAATTATTAGATTATAAAATTATTATATTGAAGCATTTGCAGCATTATTAACAATAATATTACTAGTTTCTAAGGGCGGTGTGATCCAGAGATCATACCCAAAAGCTCTGCAGAGCTAAGAGATGAATTTAGCATAGGTTCAGAAAACAAGGTCAATACACACACACACACACACACACACACACACACACATACACACACACACACATGCACGCGGGTTTCTGTGCATTAGAAACCAATGATTTAAAAACCAAAATTTAGAAAAGATGCCATTTAAAATAGTTCAATACTCTGGTTTCTCTGTAGCTCGTCTGAATCTTTACTTTTTAAAAATAATTTAAAAAGCGAAAAGCAAAGACAAATATGACACAACATGAACAGTGCTCAAACGCTGAACAGGACGGACGCGGGTGAGGACTCTCACAGCGGACGTGAGGACACCCTGCCGCCGGGTCCCCTGAGGATCAGACTTCGCCTAGGGATTGCCAGCCAGGCAGTTCCAATCCAAATCTCAGCAGGACTCTGGTTGGTAAAGACAAGAGAATTCCAGAGCTTCTATGAAATAGCACATGAATTAGAAGCAAGCGTTTTGGAAACGTGAATCTGGGAACTGCACTGCTAGATTGTGAGACTGGCTCTTTGTCTCCTATAATCCAGCTCTGCACACACTGACTGACAGAGGGACAGACACGGACAGACACCTGCCACTGGGAGTACAGAAGAAGCCCGCACAAATGCACAAGGGATGAGCAAAAGTAAGCATTAAATGTTTAAATAAAATAGCAGAGCAGTTTGGAGACGCTGTCTGAAGCCGGGAGAGCACTTGGAGGGTGTTAATGACGATGTGCCTTTTGTTATAAAAATTATCTGCACTTAAACATTCGCCATATGTTTTGAGCACTCTGCATGGATAGAATGTCTTTGGCAATTTCTGTCAGGTGAAAACACAATGCTGTAACCTGCATCTGGCCCTGTGTGACTTCTGATTCTTCTGCAGAGTCACATTGAGCATGTAAGGGGAACGTCTTGAATCCACTCAGGACATGAGGTGGCCACGAGAATGCAGCCGAAGACGCTCAGGAAAGAGGGCTCCGAGCTGCCGCAGAAACGGAGAGAGCCGGTGCGTCTTTTAGTGCCCTGCCCTCACACCACCCTTGCTGATCAGACTTTTGTGACACCTTCTGTCAAAGAAGAGCTCGATGCCGTGTCCTCACCCACTTTATTCACCAGGGCTGGCCCTGTGCGACTCCTGTACAAAGTCCAGAGGACCAGGGCGGGGAAGGAAGGGAGGAAGGCATGGAGGGAGAGAACACCGAGCATGCAGAGGGAGGAGAACCGAGTGCGTCCTGTGCAGGCGTCAGCGCTCCGATCAGATCATTGTGTGCCCCGGGCATGGACTCAGGCCGGAGAGGCAAAACGTGTCATCTGCTCAGCACAGGGGCGGCCATGACGGCACCCCCAGAACACGCACTTCCAGGACTGCGTCAGAGGGTAAGAGGGGCAATGGAATGGTGTGTCCGAGGGCCAGGGCCAGGGGAGGGATTCATCCGTGTCTTACTGCAATAAATATTCTAATTTAATCATGCAATGTGTTTTTTGGTTGCACCTCACAGCTGCTTGATTTGTGAAAGCAGGAAAACAGCTCAGAAGAGAAAGAACTGTCTTCTCAGTCAGCGGTGCTGAACGGGGCAGGGGGGCCATTCAGACCAGAGATTTGGAAGCTGGGCCTCCGCGTCATGCCCTGTACAGAGACTGACAGACCATGTCATCGATCAGCTGTAAAAGGCAACTCTGCCGAACCTTCAAAGGGAGCCACGGCAGGAATTCTTTGGGACCAGGACACTGGGAAAACACTATTAGCCTTGACCCCATTACTAGATATCAGACACCAAAAGCACGGTCTATAAAAGATAAAAGTTACATTAGGCTTTATCAAAAATAGAACTTTTGCTGAGAAACACATTTTTAGGAGACTGAGGAAGCAACTGTTAGTGCTGGGTGGGGTCCCCTAGAGCCACCCTAGGATCTCTGAATGCGGCTGTATTTGGGGACAGGGTCTTCACCAGGTCACTAAGTTAGGGCAGGGTCTGTCGGGTGGATCCTATGCCAGTGTGGCTGTGTCCAATAAGCAGAGGAAATCAGACAGAGATAATCACGGAGGGAAGAGGGGAGAAGGCAGCGCCCACTCACAGAGGACCAAGCCCTGGACCGACCTCCCGCCCAGCTCAGGAATTGCCAACCTGGCAACACCTTGGACTTCTGGCCTCCAGGAGAGGATTTTTAAAGAGACAGTTGTTGGAGGTGAGGCTAAAATGTGTGAAAACACGAGAGCCCTGTACCCAGAATGCAGTCTAATAATCTTAACAATTAACAGTAAGGAAATAAATGCATGGATTAAGAAATAGCAAAAGACTTAGACATTTTGCCAAAATTAGAAACTATTCACAGGGGATTTTTACCCTGTGTGCAAAACACAGGGCGGTCTACAGCTGCGGTAAGAGATCAGCACACGACCCTCAGAGCAGCCCCAGGAAAGATGCTGACGCGGCCAGCGTGGGCCAGCTGCGCGTCTCCTACATGGCTGGCAGGAGCGGGAAGGGACCCAGCCCTTTGAGGCCTAGTTCGACAGCCTCCTAAAGAAGTAAACGGGTGCATCTCCTGTAGGTCCATTGTCCTGCTTGCAGTGAAGGGAACGTGCACATAGGAACACGTGGGGATTCTCCACGTCGGTACTGATGGTGGCCCCCCGGGAATTCACCCTGTGTTACTCAGCAGGTGAATGTACACACTAACTAGTTTGGCCACAGAGCAGAACACTGCCTGGCACTACTGAGCCACAGTGCTTCAACCCGGGAGATTTCCCAGGCGTCGTGCAGGAGGCGGTCAGTCTGGTAAGCTACCCACTCCGTGATGGCTGCACCCTGCAGAAGGGTGCAGCTGGAGTGCTGGGACTGGTCCATGGCTTCTTGGTCCTGCATTGGCCTGTGTGACTTAAAGTCAGCAGGCGGCACTCCAGGAGAAGTTATCTGGGTTATGGAGACTTTAGAAAGTAATAATGTGAGTCATACAAACACTGGGCTCTTCCAGCCTGCCCTGGGGGCAGCAGGCATTGAAGTGCACGTCTCGGGCTGAGGGTGGACGGGGAGGACAGCGTCCAGGTGCTAGGAAGGAGCCCATGCAGAGCCTTCATGGTGGCTCAGAATGTGTGATCCTCCCGATGCCAAGCTGCCGTGGTGGGTGAGTGGCCGAGCTGCTGTTCCCCAGGTGACTGGGTCTACCTTACCTGTCACCAGGCCCATCTTTGCCCATCTGGCTGCCCGCTGCTCATTCCTCTCTCCACGCACACCTCCGCAGTGCCTCTGACTCCTTGTGCCCAAGTTAAAGTCTCCTGCTGGTATCTGTGGCAAAGTCCTCCCAACCAGGCCTTGCTGTCCCCAAACCTGTCCCCTCTCAGGGTAGCCTCTCAAGGAAGCGGGTGAAGCATGGCGCTGGACATGGCTGGTCCTTCGGTGACTGCTTCCATTACCTGCAAGTTCTCGGTCCCTCCCAGCTCTTTAGAGCCCAGGGAGGGTGCCATGTGGCCACTTGTCCTCCACATGACACCGAGCATCACCAGGGCCCATACTGCAGGAGAGAGGCAGCAGGTATCTTTTAGGACACCTCAAGAGGAAACTCCTTCAAAATTACTGTCTGCCTTCTTCCCATCTGACCATGGCAGCACAGGGCCAGGCTGCTCTGTGGCTTTGTGGAAATGCCCAGGCCTCACCTCTGCCCTGGGCCAGGGATGTCACAGCTTATGGTAGACTAAAAACTGGTGGTTAACTTAACACCAGCTGAACTGAATCTGCGTGGCACTGTGTGGGGCCACCTGAGGGCTGTGCCAGCAGAAAGAAGTGTTGTTTGGTGCTGTTGGATCCCTTGTTGCTGTGGGTTCTCCCAGGGGGCTTGTGCTGGCTCCCCTCATAGGAACTCAGCTGTTATCACTGGAGGAGCTCAGGACCTTGTCACTGAGGACGGCTGAGGTTCACTTCGGGGGAGCTCTGTCTTTAATTTGAGCATCGCTTTTTGGCTCTGGAGGGGAAGATGTATGCTGCTCAGTCTCCAGGAGAAGCTTGTCACACTGGCTTCCTGATATGAACTTGGCTGTTATTGTGGAGGAGCTCAGGACCTCATTGTCACTGAGGATGGCTAGGGTAATTTTCAGGAAAAGCCCTGGTTCTTATTTTGAGTGTCATTTCTTGGCTCCAGTGCTGAACCCTCAGCCTCCTGGCACAGCTCCTTCGCCCCACTGGCACAGACTTTCTAGCTTCCATCGCTGACCTTTGGGCCTTTCCAGTGCAGAACAGTGAACAGATTTGCATGAGTCATTGTTGTGAGCTCTAGGCCTCCAGCTGGACTCATGCAGAACATTGCTGTGTGATCCAGGACCTTGACTGGATTCTCTAGATCTTTAGTGTGCAGACAGATTTCCTGCACTTTTTTTGTATCTGACTCCTTGGGTGACTGTTATCAGTAATACCATAAATTCTATGTCCTGTATGTAATTGTTCTCCTTGTGACCCCTGACTACAACACAGCTCATCTGAGCGTCACCCCCTCCGCCACACACGAGGAGAAGGGTGCTTACCTCCAGTGTGGACTTGGGAGCTTTAGACAGTGAGTGAGAGCAAAATGTGCTGATCTGCCTTTACATCCCTGGGAATAAAAATGCTGCTTAAAAATTCCAGGGGAGCCTCTGAAACTTTTGAGGAGGTGGGATAATTGTGCCTTCCCCGAGTGTCTCCCCCGCTGTAGGCGGGAATCAGATGTGCCAAAGGGAGAGGAAACAAAGCCAAGGTCTCCTAACAACTCGGAGACCGCACGGGCTCTGGGACCAAAAGGGCTGGGAGGCCACGCCCGTTCTGAGCTGTGTCTCAGGGCCAAGGCTGCCCACACCGCAAGCAGAGCGGTCTTTTGGAAACAGGATGGACCAGCTGCCCTCCTAGCTGAAGCTCTCACGATCCCCGGGAACTGGCAGTCACTCTGTCACCCCCTAGGACCGTGCACACTGTGCTTTTGGAGATCTGGCCCCACCCACGGCTTTGCCTTGGGTTATTTTTGTCTCCTCAAACAAGGATATCAAAGGAAGCTGGTGAAAGCTTCCCTGTACTGTCAACCAGAGCAGACAGACGGACAGAAGGGACATTCTGTCCAATTATCCAGAAGAGACTGTACCCCCTAGGGCCTGAGATGCCCTCCCCCAGTCCCAGGGACCGGACTGCAAATGGCAAATGCTGCCTGGAGAAGTCTGTGGGCATCAGGTCTGGGCTCTGTGAGTACAAAAGCAGGCGGCCGAGCAATGGGGGTGGGGCGGGGTGGGAGAAAAGACTCTGTTCTCCCATGGAGGAGCTGTGAGAGCCCTGCAGATTCATGGTGATAAGGAGCTTAGAGCAGAGCCCACGATTGATCTCTCTGCCATCTGAGGGATTTGCAGACTTTGAGCGGGCCTGGGGCTATCTCCGTGTTACAGCCTCCTTGGGACTGTGTGGATGAGCCTTATCTGATTCCCGGGGGAAATCATTTCGAGGAAGCCATGCCAGGATGTCTCACAAGGCCTGCTGTCTCCCAGCAGGGGAAAGGTCAGTGCGTCTTCTACCATGAAAAAATCGCTGCGACAGGCTCCATGGTAAAAACCCACTGCTCCGGAGTCTCTCAAATAGCTGCTGAGTTGCATGGGAAAAGGATAAAGTAGGGGACTCGGGGAAGATTTTCATGGCAGTACAAGATGTTTGGGGCAAGATGAGATGGCTGGGGCTCTGTCCCAGCACCAAGGAGACCACCAGGGCCTCAGGCTACCTGAGGATACCTTCCTGTTTCCTGGTACTGGTGGGGACCTGGGCTGTGGCTCTGGGAACTGTTGATTAGGTGAATCCTCTGTTGTTCCAGGCAAATCTGTAGCTACCAGGGCGCAGTCTATTTTGTGCTGAGCTGAGATTTCACCAGACACAGCTGGGCACGTCGTAAGATGCAAGGGTGCTGTCAGATGCCAGGGTGCTGGTTTTCACCCACCAGGACCTGAGTGTAGTTTCCTAGATGTTCCTTGCAGAGGCAGGGACACATGATGGTTTATGTTCCATTCACTCTTACTGTCCCTGTCTTGTTTTGAGCATTGTCAATTTCTAATAAATTCAGGGTAACCACCTCTCACATCCCAGATTGCCCCAGGCCCTTGGCCTCCTCTACCCTCCAGAGAGCAGCGAGCCTGGTCCATGAGGGACATGGGGGTTCAGTGACAAGAAGACATTTATTGCTTCACCAGCTGTATGAATTTCCCTTCCAGCTGCCCTGGAAGGAAGGAAGTGGACCTCACCCGAATATGACACTCTTCCTCTGGAAGGATCAGAGGCCTTGTCCTCTGTGGGGTCAGCACCAGGGCACATTGGAGATGCCACGCCCTTGCTGTGAGTTCTACAGCTTGAGTCCCAACTGATAGAATATGCCCTGAGCCGGAAAGCCCTTAGCACTTGGGGTACATTAGTGGGGACATCCAGACATCCTGCCTGGAGTTGCCCTTGGCTGCTCTGCTGGACCCCACCTGCAGCTGCTAAGTGAACATAGGCCTTCTATGAGCTCAGTGTGCAGGAGATGTCACAGTCACCCTGGCTATTAGTGACTCTGATCAAAGAGCCCAACGGTGGCCCAGCCCACATGCTCATGTGGTAGATTCCTGTCCACCACTAACCCTGAAAAGAGCAATAACAGGAAGATGTCATTCTGCTATCAAAACCAGACAGTCCTGACCCCAGCAAGGGAGTGACAGTCAGATGCTGCTAGAGGACAAGAATTCCTGCCTCCAAGCTACATTCCTCCTGCAACTTCAAGGCCAGGCTGTAGTGGCCATTGCCCGCCCCGTAGCACTTCAGTCTGAGATGGATCAGTATGGCAGTGATACATCCACACCCCAAAGTGGCACACATTTCTGGGTAAGAAGATTTCTCCAGCCTCGCTCCCAGCAGAGGCTGAGATGATATTTCCAGCTTTGTTGCTATGTCAACTCTCAGCAGCGACCCGCGTCTTGCATCGGAGCCAAGGCAGCCCATCCGTCAGCTCCTTGCTAAAGCACAGCGGAGGACCTGCTGTGCTCTGTGGTGAACCTGCCTTGGATATCTGAGCTGGGCACATGCTCTGGACTCTAGGAACTGGATGCTGGGCACAGGGCACAGCAGGGTGGTCTCCCACTGAGTCCTCCCTAGAGAGGACAGGAAAGAAATGAACAGGGTCCTTGTGACCAACATGTGGGGCCTGGACAGCACTGCTCAGAGACATAGCCAGGTGCTGCGGGAGACCCTGGGCAGGAAGGGAAGAGACCATGGAAGGAAGGACCCTGGGAGGCTGAACTCCAGGGCAGAGATTGCAGAGGCAGCCTGGATTATAACGATGGCTTTCCAGCACACTAGCACAGCTCAGGGGCAGACCTTGAGTCCATCGCACACTTGGCAGGTCCCCAGGTCTGTTTTGACCATTTTGCATGAATGGGCCTGTTGAATTCTACAACAAAGAAGACATAGATTCATCACTATCATCATTTCATACAGAAGAAACCATTCCCAGGATGCCTAGGTTCACAGAGACGGAAGTTGAGACCCATTTGCCAATATTATCCAAAGTGGGTGGGACATGAGCCAGGTCACCTAGTTTGTCAGCTCGATGAGTTTGGGGTCTGTGAGAGCACTGGTGGGGTGCACTTCTGTGGAGCTGGGGTGATGGAGAAGTGATCCTGGGTACTTTACATGGTCCCTTGCCCCTTCCTCTCTGGTCCTCTCCTCCTCCTCTGCTCCCTGGCAGCCATGAACTGAGCAGCTCTGCACCCCCATACCCTTCTGCATGACTTTGCTACCATGGACTGGGTGATCTGAAACCGTGAGCCAAATTAAGCTTTTCCTCCTTTAAACTGTGAGTGTGGTGGGCCTTGCCCCAGTGATGGAAAGGCTGCCAGTGTAATCCTGTTTCCCAGCATAGGAACTAGGCATTGGAGCCACCAGGTGCACACAGTCCCACATCACAGGAGCAGCTGGGGGCTGCACAGTGATGCAGGCAGAGATCGAGGGTCAAGTGAACTCTGGATGCTTAGGGGTTAAGGCAGCTGGGCTGACAGGGCAGAGCAGATGGCAGGCAGAAGTGCAGGCAAATGGGAAGGACAGCAGAGGGGAGACAGGGAAAGAGCCTGGAGTCCAGGGAAACAGGGTCTCTGGGAGACAGGTGGAGAAGCTATGGGGTTATGGGGAGAGTGGCGTGAGGCATAGATTCCGGGTGACATGGAGTCTCGGAAGCTGAGGGATGAGAATCTGGCCAGTGGAGGTTGTATTGGGACTGGGAGAGCCCAGGACGTCATCCTGAGAGTGTCACCTTCTCCCACAAGGAGGGGCAGGTGGGGGAGGGGCTGTGGAGAACAGAGAGGGAGAGAGGCCAAGAAGCACCCCACCGCTGCAGGCCTCTTAGGGGGAACAGGACTCCTCCTTTGGGCTCTGTAGGTTTAGTTCTTGAGGTCTGACAGTGTCACGTGCATGAGCAGGGCCATGTCTTCTCACCTGTGGAACAGGACTGATGAGAGGCAGCACATAAGGACCCCATGGGGCTGCTGAGCAGAGGTGAGGTGGCTCACTGGGGGCTCTGTGACAAGGAACATGAGGAAGCTGCAGTGTTGTCAGCAGGGCCTTGGTTGTCCTGGGTCCCAGGCAGGTCCCATACCACCATGGAAATGAGGCTCCCAGGGACCAGGTAGTGCCAAGAAATCCTCTCGGGGTGGAGGGTCTGGGTCCCCGTGAGTGGACTCTGGAGAAGTGCAGAGAAGTAGTTCCAGCACGGGGGCTACCCTGGCTCTGGGTTCCAGGTGGTGCTCTGCTTACCCTGAGATGTGCCTCTATGGGTACAGGAGACCCACAGCATGCAGACATGGAAACTAAGGTGCTGGCTGCATCCCTAGCCCAGACTAAACAAGGGGAAGGCATCTTGAACTGAGGATCTGTGTAATCCCCAAGACAGATAGATAGACAGACACACAGTTCTTTGGCTACCTCAGTGCCACAGAGGGACAGACTGACCCCACTGCCCGCTGCCTTGATGTTTCAGCTATTTTTTGTCTCTAGGATAAAATATCCAACACCCACAAGTTAAAGGAATGAAGTTTATTTTGACTGTCAGTCTGAGGAGGTTTCAGTCCATAGTGGCCAGCTCCAAGGCAGGGCGGCATGGCAGAGGCCAGAGGAGAAACAACCCAAGGCAGGGCAGGCAGGAGGTGGCATCAGCATTGCAGTGCGCCCCTTTCTTTCTGTCCCTTAATATTCCCTCCAGGCTACAAGCCTATTGATTGATGCCCCCGTATCTAGGGTGGGTTACACACACACAGAACTGTGCTAAACTAATTTGGTTGTCATACACCCTTAATTTGAGTATCACATGCCCTAATCCATGTCACACATCCATGATCCAGCCATCTCCCAAAAGCCTTGCCTATGCACACATGAGGCTTTCAGGGGACATCTACATGCAAACCTTAACATTTGGTCACTGAGGCTGAATGCAGGAGGCCAGCAGAAGCAGCGAGCCAGTTACAGAGGGAAGGGACTCTGGAGTGTTCAGGTGGATGGGGAGTCCTGAGGTCAGCACAGCAGCTTCCTGATAGACTCCACAGGCCATGCCTTCCTGCCCGGATCCCTTTCTCTACACAGCCTGGGGCGCTCCTCTCACTGGGATGCATCTGGTAGACAGCTACCAAACAACACAGGATCTCTCTCCCCTGGGGTCCACTGGTCTGGAGATGCCACACCAAGACAGTGCCTGGGCTCTGACACCAGGATGCTTCTCTCATCTGCAGAGCCACAGGCTCAGTATCTAATGCAGCAACCACCATGTAGAGGCCTGGGGTCCTACAAGTAAATGGGGACCATTCCAACCCTGCAGTCCTGCACCATAATTCACTGGGGTGCAAACTCATAGATGATGAGGGACATCAGTTCCTTGGACACCAGGGAGTGCCTGCTCCATGAAGAAGCAGCTACCAGGAATTCTTTGACACTGGCAGCTTTTGTTAAGCACACAGCCTTGAACCCCTTCCCATCCTGCCCATAGCTGATGTGGCAGAGGTGAGGAGACCATGGGCGTGCCCTGCCTCTGGGTCTCTCCTGTGTGGGTTTACATGACCAGTGGTAACAAAGCCCCGGGCCTGGCAGCCTAACTGTCTCACATCCCGAGACCTAGAAGGCCAAGGCCAAGGGGTGGACAGTGCTGGTTCCTTTGAGGCCTCTCTCCTGGGCTGTCCACGCTGTTTTCTTTCTGAGTCCTCAGTGGTCTTCCTGCTGGGTCCCACTCTTCCCTCCTTATAAGAACACCAGATTATTTAGGGATCTCTGTTGAGAAGACTCTGTCCCAAACACACTGATCTCTCAAGTGCATCAGAGCTCCAGTGTGTGGGGTTTGACAGACATGAGTCAGTCTGTGATGCTCCTCCTTCTCCACTCAGGTCCTGTGTGATGCTCCTCCAGTCTCACCTCTGCCTCCTCCCCACACTGTCGCTTTGACATCCATCCCAGGACCAGATCTGGGGACACTGGCAGCCCTGGCACACACCAGCGATGCGAAGGTCGCCTCCTTTCTCTCCCTGTTCCTCTTGTTAGAGAAACCTCCCTAAACTCAGGCGGTGCTTATCAGGGCTCAGGGTTTCCTGCAGGGATCCGGGATGGCAGCCTGCATGGCGACCGTTCCCACCCAAGCACCTCCAGTTTTGGTTAGAAAGCGATGCCGAGGCCTAGGCGGGGCGGGAGGGATGGGGAAGCCATCCCCAGCCGGAGCGCCATCCCCAGCTGCTCTGGCTCTCCATCTTTAGTTGGCTTTATTAGTGGCTTTAGTTGTTTAGCAAGATACATGTGTTTCCGTCTGCCAAAGGATAGCTCCTTCGTAGTCCTGGGGGGAATCTCATCCCAGGGCTGCCACAAGTAGTAATTTTGAGGTGTTTTTAATGCTTCTGAGTATTAAACTTTCATACTGTTTTTAAAAATTCAGGAAGGAACTTCACAATTCCATGCGTCCTGGGGCCTTGAGTGGCCAGAAAGGCGGTGTGATAGGTGGCGGATGGCAGGCCAGGGATGGGGGTTTCCACCCTCCCAGCTCAGCCCAGAACCCCTGCCCAGCTCCTTTCTCCACTTCTACACTGTGGGGAGCAGTGGGGCGCCCTGTGTAGAGGCTCCTGGTTTTGTCCTCAGGTCCACACATGGGAAGCTCACCCGGATTCGGGAGGCAGAAGTCAAACAGGTGCCTGGGTCAGAGAAGCCAGCTTCCTGAAGGTCGGCTCTGGTTGGTTCTGAAAGGGCTGCCCCTGGAGTCCCCCAGCTCATGCATGCACGACCCCCTCCCTCTGCCATGAGTGGAGAAAGAGACCCTTGCCAGCTGTGGGCCTTTTGGCCCTGGACCTCCAGGGCTGTAAGAAACAAAGCTGCATCCTTCTGAGTCACCCAGCCTTCTGTGCAGCCGTGGATGTTCTGTGCTGCATGGAACAGACTGAGACTGTGCCTCATAGCAACCGCTGCCCAGGGCTGAGCCGGTGTCGGGACGGCCTGGGAGGACCCAGGGAACATGTTCCCAGGTGGTCACTGGATGCAAATCACTTCCAGCCTGAGTGAGCCAAATGCGGCTGCATGATTTTTCACTCAACAAACACATACTCATTCCTGCCAGGAGAAGCCTGTCCTGGGTCTTGGAGGGGAAGGGCGGGTCCAGCATGCTCTTGGCCCTCTAGGGGCCCTGAGGGACCACAGCTGCTATGAGGATGCAGGGTGCCCAGAGTGGCTCCCAGAAAGACAGGTGAGAGGCCCAGGAGCCCCAAGACCCGTAGGGATCTGCCAGCTGGCGAGCCAGGCTCAGCTGGGCAGAGGGACCCACAGAGCTCCACTGGAGAACAGGGCAGGGAGAGGGCAGGCAGGGCCAGGAGATGGACTGAGGACTCCCACAGGTGTGCCCAGGCCCTGAGGCTCTGAGCTCAGTGTGAAATGCTAAGGTGTGGCCAGCATGGGGTCTCTGCCCCTGGGGCTGTAAGCACAGTCACCCTGGAGCAGTTGCCATGGTGACTTCGGGGCAGCTAGACTCCACTCTCCAGTCTCTGCTATGATCAGGGACTGCAGAGGCCACAAAGCCTCTGTTCGGGGCATCATGTGACACAGTGCGGGAATAGCTGTGGAGGTGTCAGTGTAGCCCCAGGGACTGAGCCTGCTGGCCAGGACACTTGTGAGTGGATGGGGCTAGGGCCCGAGAATGCAGCTCCGCACAGGGTGTGGGGGTCCTGTGGTTTTGACACAGCCCAGACATAGCCAGAGACAAGAAGGCTGTGGAGACAGGCAGAATCCTGGCCTCTGCCTGCTGCTCATTAAAAGCATAATTTGTGTTTTCTTCTGGGACACTCAGGGACAGAAAAGTCATTTTTGTTATGATCCCTGCCCTTTGCTGGGCTCGAAAGATGCCCAGTGGATGACCAGGAGCAGAGCGAAGTGGGGCCTTTGGTAGTCTTGAGGCAGATCACTGTCGCTCCCCAGCAGAGGGCTAGGGTTGGTCAGCTCTGAGTTTACAGGGTCGCATCCCCTGCAAGACAGAGGGCACTGGACACCATGATGAGAGGCTTGTAGGGAGGTTCAGGGACCATCAGCCGCCATCCTGAGCCTGCCGTCACTAGCCCTACAGGAGAGGTGGAGCCCGTGTGTTGAAGGCCCCCATGGAGAGAGACAGTTCTGTCCTGGCCACTGTCCCTCAGCTGGGAAGACTTCAGAGCTGTGACATGGGGACTGAAGTCACCACCAGCAGGACCCCAGCCCTGGCTGAGCCCTGAACCCCTGCATCAGGGTGCCCCCCTGCAGCTCCCAGCTTCCTGACAACTTTTCAACTAAACCTTTCTCCTTGTTCATGTGTGTTTCCATCTGAATCTCCACTCTTACTAAAGCAAGGACCCACGGGGACAGTTTGGGATCAGAAGACAAGCCCAGGGCTGCTGGGACCAGAGGCACAGATGCCAGGCAGGCTGAGCACAGGGCAGCGCCCTCGATGTTTGTGAATGCAGAGCCGGCTCAGAATCCCGTCCCGAGGGAGTCCTACCTTGTGCCAGTGAAAGACCACCGAAAGAGGACGGATAGTAACCAGACATGCGATGTACTCCTGCCGATGACAAAGCTGTGCCAGAGTGACCATGATGGGGACACAGGCGGCTCCCACAGAGAAGAAAGGGGTGTGCATTTGGGGTAACCCTCCAGCCCTCCAGCGGGATACACTGGACCCAGTCCTCTGACAGTGGGGACTCTGGGCCCTGGGCAAGGCTGGCACTAGTGGTGGGAAGGACAGTGATGTCCACACTCAGCTGGTCACGGGTGCAGAGGGCACGGACTGGGCGGGGCTGGGGGCAGACCTGCACTGCTGTTGTGGGTTTGGGGGATGCTGTGTGTGGCTGAGACCAGACTGAGTGGCGAGCAAAGGCTGAGTGGGGGACAGTGACCATCAAGAGTCCCCTGTGGCAAGGTGGACTTTGGAGTCCCTGGTGAAGTGCTGCTACTGGGCAGGGGGAGGGGGTTCTGGCCAGGGAAGCAGGGTCCCATGCAGCCCATGATCACTGTCACCTGCCTGCTCTCCTGTCAGTCCCCGGGGCTGACTGCTCCCTCTGAGATGGGAACCGTGCAGGGTCTGATCCCAGCATCTTGAGTGTCCCAGTAGGAGTTCATGTTCCCTGTTACCACAGCGCCCACTGGAGAGGTGGGTAAACTGAGCAAGGCGGCTGAAGGGGAGGCAGAAGGACCAGCTGAGAAGGCAGCTGGGGATGAAGGAGCCACACGGGACAGAGAGACCCTGCTTCTCTCTCCCCGCCTGTCTCCCCCCGTGCTTCCCTCGCTCCTTCCCGCTGTGTCATCAGGAAGGTGCCAAACTGAAATCCCACTCAGGAAGACTCCCGGGACTCTGCCCTTGGCCTGGGTAAAACAGGGTGCCTGCTTGAAGTGCCAAAGAGCAGTGGGACCCTGTGGGAAGAGGCCAGGTTTCCCGGGGTCCCCAGCCCCCAAGGGGAGAGGGTTCAGAAATTGTTCCAGGAAAGCGAGGCCCCCAGAAGGTACAGGCAGCCGGGCACCCGAGGAGGCCAGGCCCAGGAGGACGTCACAAAGATTCAGTGAGGGATGCGGCTGCGGCCAGGGCCAGGACACCTGGGGGCTGGCGAGCAAAGGCCCCACTGGAGTAGCTGGGGTTCTTTTGCCCAGAAGTGAGGCTCCTTCCTCTCTGAACCACGCCTCTGCTCCCATTAAAATGGGATCAGTGGTGCCTGCAGGAGTACACCTGCCATACACCCTGGGCACCTGCAGGGCCTTGTCTGCTGCCCACTGTCTGCTGCCCACTCTCCTGCTTGTAGCCCCGAGGGTCCTCTCACCGCCTGGCTGAGGTGCAGTTACTTTGTGTCTAAAACCCCTAGGCAAGGCGCCCCCTGCAGTGCTCGGGGTCCCTCCCACGTTGCTTTGCAGGGCAGCTGTTTGCTTCCTCTCTGTGATAAACGCTGCTTCGGGCTCCAGCGCTGCGGTCAGTGCCTCTGCTCAGTCCTCTGCTGGCTCTCTGCCTTGTCATTCTTTCTGGGTTGACAGAAGAACCCAGCAGCTGGGTAGTAACATTAAAAAGCATGAACAAAAAAAATGGGAAAAATTCTCAGTGTTTGTGGGAAGTTGATGAGAGTCAAGACATCCCGAGGAGGTCGGGCAAGGCTGTGGAGACGGCTGTGCCCAGGGGCTTCACTGTTTGCAACCCTGGAGCTAACTCGGCTGGGCACTGCGTTTGGTGGACAGAGGGACAGGAGGACAGGAGTGGAGAGGACGGAGCCATCATGGAGGATGCGGAGGAGGACAGAGGATGGAGGGATGCCAAGAGTCCTTTGAGAGAAACAATAGATTAAGAAAAACACCAGCACTTGTACATTTTGGATAAATACCAGAACTCAAAAAAATCAAGAAACTATCAAGAAATCTTTAATAGCCTCACAATAAGAAAGGGAGCTACCAAGGATGGAACCGAATCACATCGGTGGCCAATTTCCTATATCAACACCACATCCCAGGAGAAAATATCTTGAAAGATCTGAAAGTGTTTTGATTCGATAATTTTAAGCTCAGAAAAAAAACTATTATTCAAGTAGGAGAGCAAAGTAAAGGGATTTTCATGCATGAAAAACTCAGAAAATCAATTTATCATCCATGGGCTCTTAGAAAGATCATTTGAATATAAACCTAAACAAAACAACAGTAAACAAACAGAATCATGAGCCCAAGAAGGCGGGGGACACAAGGTGGAGGATGGTACAGACCGGAACAAGAGGCTCCTGTCATTAATCTCAGACAGACTTTAGGGGTGATGCTTTAAAACGGACACATGGTTGGTTAAACATTAAAGAAGAGTATTTTGTCGCGGTAGAAGTGAGAGCCAAAAGGGGGTGGAGAGAACTAAAGAGGAACGAGGCGGGGAACGGTGAACACCTGCCGGATGACTCATTTCTTCAATGGAGAATATAATTATTTTTATGCTTCATAGAAAAATGTTAGTCTGAGTGTGTGTGTGTGGGACAGTGTGGGTCTCGGAGTGGCTCTTGGTTAATCAGACTCTGTATCACGGAAAACAGAATCTGAAGAACTATTTGGCGTGGTGCTAGAAAACATCAGTTCCAGCTAGACTGTAGATCTAAGTTTCAAAGTTTAAAATGTGTTTATTTTACAGGAATATAGGAAAATCTCTTCGTACCTTTTAGGTTAGTGGAGTTGGAAGAATCATGATAACAAAATAAAAAGCAGCTAAAGAGGGATTGAGAGCAAAGTGCCACAGGAATATTCTGAGGGTTTGTGCAAATCTACGTGTGTATGTTCAGTGTACACACGTCAGGAGCAGTGTTGCACAAGGCAGAAAGATGGGAGAGTGCTGGTCAGCGGAGGCGTCCTGCCCCAGGGCTAAAAACTCAAACCCGAAAATGTCCTGAGTGTCCAAGTCAGGGAGGAGCGTGCCTCTG